TAATTGATCATTTTGCTAAATGATCTATTAAGAAATAGAATAGTAAGGTCCATACCTTTTGATAGGAATAGCAAGTTGGGCCTCATCACACATATGTGTGTATTCATTATTATTATTTTTAGTTTCTAATGAAAATAGAACTTGTTGGTCATTTATTTTGGAAAAAGAATATTTGTCAAGCCATAATATTGTCAAAGTATATGTGCAACGACAGTGTAACTTCTAGGTCCTGCGATGCACGGGAAACACCTAGTTCTCAAGTTCTCAAAGAGGAGTCCAAAAGTTAATGGTCATCCCAAATACAAAGAATTTATTAACAAACCACTAGCTAGTATGAAGACGAGAGACTAAGCATCAGGACCGATCAAACTACAGACGGAATTGCACGGATGAAGAGTGTTGATTTGAAGACTAAATGTTATGGTCAACCAAAGTAGGATAAAGATTGAACAAAGACCGCCATTCTAAACAAATTAGAGGCCGGAACCCATGGATAAATAAGATTGGTTAATATAACGAGCCCTACAATTAAGAGGATTTTATATAATTTATTTAATTAATATAATATATGTGTTCCATAGAGTAAGAGAAGACTGTTGATAAGTTGTAGACATACTCTACAATTTAGGATGTAGATGATCACATGGCCATGTGAGGATGTGAATTATGATAGCAAGACTCAGAATCCTATCATCTTTGATTAGAATGGGAATAAGAGAGTAAAACGCCCTCCAACTTCTCTTTTAATTTTATTAGATTGATTTTTATTGTGCAGAATGTTTTGATACAATTTGTATTTTAATTAGGTGGCTACTAATTGAGTCATCATCACACATTTTCAAAAAGAAAACAAAGAGTTTGTCATTTGTAAGCTATGATCACCAGAATAGGATCGATGCTTATTGTTTTATTTTCTTGTTTGTTACAAAAGATATCCATTACGAAGTAGGAAAATTTTTTTCCCCTTCCGGAAATATAAAGCTGGTTCTCTTTCTTTTTACATTTGTGTGGTGTAGAGAAGGTAAAGATTCATCATATGCTATTGAGAACTCACGGCGAATCAAGTGGAACAGAGTGCAATTAAGCATAAATATGATTCAATTCCTAACTAACAAAATACTTTATTAACTGTAAAAAAAGATTTTATTCCGGCCCACCAAAGCATTTTAAGAAAGAAAAAGGAGGAAAAAGAGAGTCATAACAAGTTGTGAATCGAAGACTTAACTGCCCTCAAGTCAGCTCAATTTAATAGGCGCACCGAGCTTGGTGGATTTTTTAAAACAAAGAACTTCTCTACCTGAATACCGATTAAACTTTTGTTAGGCTTATCGAAAAGTTAAGACGTTATTAAATGGGATTCGTTTGTTATGATCCATCATTAAGTGTATATATTAGTTAAATTAGAAAGAAATCATGACCATCGAAATATTATCTGATGGTTATGACTTAGAAAGTGATCTCTATACTACTATGACAATGAGAGGGAGCAGACGTACAATACTTTAGGGATAGTTGTTCGGGGTGGCTTATTTTTTTTGATCAAACTAGCTTTTAATCTAGTTTGTTTATTTCTATATGTTTTGTAAAATACCAAATAAGTTAGCTTATAAATCACATTTTAAAAAACTAGTATACCACAACTTTTGAAAAACTAACTAAATAAGTTAGATTTGACCAAACAAATTACTATACTATCCAAACAATTTTTATAGTATTTTTATCATAAAAGCCAAAAGTCATTAAAAACTAACATAACTTTTAAGTTTAAAAAATAAGCACAAACACCCTCATTGTCAGTATTAAAATTTCCATATGGTGTAAATTGAATTTTTTTTTTGAAGATTTAAAATAGGGTGAGAAACCTTGTTCATGATATCTATTATATAAAAAGAAACTTTAGGTAAATATATACATGAGCATTCCCAAAAGATCTGGATGAGAGTAGGAACCAGAGGAGATATAAACATCTGGGAGAGGACCTTGTCCTCACCGGATAGAGAAAATCTACTTTGTTTCCTAATCTCCCAAAAAAGTCTAGAAGTTTAGAGAAACCATACTAGAAAGCTTAAAACATCAAGATGGAATTCTACGAGAAGGAAGAGAAGAAAAAACACTGAGTCTGGCACTAGAACTTGCTATTTGTAAGATAGCTTCAAAAATTCCACTGCATCTCTTGCCCCGTCATTGGCCGTCTCCGGGAGCCCTATGTCAACAGTAGCCTTTTAAAGGGGGGAAGTCTTCTTGTTGTTGTATGTGCCTATCCAAATACAGAAAAACGGGCGATGTTAGAGGCTGTCTGATGGGGAGAAACTCTGATATTGTTGAAAATAAGATTGTTCCTGCTATACCAAATCCACCAGTAGCAGCATGGAAGGAGGACTTTCCATAAAACTCTAAAATTGAGATCGGTAAGAAAAGAATTGTAGTCATGCAACATATAGTCCAAATTCTGAGGCCAGATACTTATAATTTTGAAGGGGGGGTGTAAGACCAAACATTTCTCGTGAAAACACAACTGTTAAAAATATGATCATGAGACTCGCTGCTTGAATTGCAGAGAGAGCAGTTGTTAGCACTTATCCATCTTTTTAGAGAGCACATCTTTAGTGTTGAGTTTGTAATGGGCCAGTAACCAGAAGAAGATCTTGTCCTTAAGGCGGGTAGGAGAGCTCCAAATAAAAGATGATAGCTTAAGGCGGGTAGGAGAGCTCCAAATAAAAGATGATAGTTGAAGAAGGTACCTCCAGAGTTGAGAATCTTATAATAAGTTTTGACTGAGAAATACCTGAGGGATGGAATGACCATCTAATGGAGTCATGAACTGATACATCAGTAGGTTGGAAGTTTTCCAAAGAAAGGTATAGCTGCCTGATATCTCTTCTTTCCTCCGCAGAGGATCCTCTTCTAATGATCGGATGCCATTTCCAAGAATTCTGAATTTGTCAAACACAAAAATAATAGAAGGATTTACAAATCCCTCAAGAGGGGTTAAATGGGTTAACCCATCTAAACGAGGGGTTTACAAATCCACATGTTTTAACAGATTAAGAGACTACCCCCTCTTTTTATAAAGGAAGTGGTTTTGATTTTTTTTATGTTCCCAAACATAAAAAAAAATCTAAAAATTAAAATAAACTAGCCTAATATATTAAAAAAATTAACTTTTTGGGTTAACTGATGGGCTAACATGGCAGAATAGTGGACAATCAAATTTTAAAATGATTGTCCAAGCTCTCTGTAAGAAAGATGAGAGAACTTGAATCCTTGGCAAAACTATACACATGATGGGTTTCGGATTATTCCGTTTTTTTATTGAAAGTACTTCTTGAACCCATGATCACTCGTGTCAGAGGACAACTGCCTTTTGTAGTTTTATATATCATTTTCTCCGTGGGATGTGAAAACCGTGGAATGTACTTCAAACGGACAAAAGTATGTACCAGAAAAAAGCAGAAAAGAAAACAACCCTCAAATACTTTATATAATATATACACAGTTAAATTCGTTGTTAATAGTGACTTATGCAAAGATTATAAAAAAGATAAGTTAAGTCACACATGATTAGGAGCGGAGACAAGATTTTAGTCCGTTAATATGCCGTAAAAAATGCGCGGTCAAAATTTAGAGGGAAAACATATATAAGGAGAGCAAGACGTACATCATGAAGAGAGGCAGAGTTTAGATTGTAAAATACTATTAAAAAAAACTAAAATATAACTTCGAGAACAAATTTATTAGAAAACAAATGAAATTTACATTTAAACTCCCTTTTTGAACAATACTAACTAGCCTTATAATGAAAGGCTGAGATCCAAATTACTGCATTTGTTCCCCTTTAATTCTTCTTTTTCTCCCTCCTCCTCCTTCCCTTCCACCTCCTTCCCGGGATTATTGCTGATCTTCGCCTCCTCGTAAAAATCTTCCAATTCAAACTTTGGCCTCCAAAGGCTAGCTAGCGTCTCTTTTCTCGATTTTTTATTTGATTCGTTTGCTTTCCAAACTTCTCTCATTGCTTTGATATTACCAATAAGAGCATAAAATTTCTCAACTTGTTCATCTTCATCCTCTTCTTTTGTCACCGGTGGTCGAGTTGGCGACGACGACGACGACATTAGAACATCAGCCGGCCTCTTCATCCTCCCGCTCTCCGCCATAGAGAATAATACTGAAGGAAACGAGAGCGTTTTGTGAGTCGTTAGCTCCCTCAACGAGGTTGGATTTATATACACTCCACTCTGATGACAAGTCACGATTCCCTTTTTTTTTAAAGCCTTTGATATCCCTCGAGCAATGGGAACAAAGTATGGATGCAAGCGGGTTTCGGGTAAGTATTTAACCCGAGCCCAAAATATCAAATTGGTCATTTATGAAAGTTTTGGAGATTAATGGGTCCAAATTTGGGACCCGAAGTCCAACTGTTGATTATTAAATCGAGAGAAGCAAAAAAGAAAGTATAATTTCGCATTTTTAGATGTAAAAATGACTAAAAAGATAGTAAGTGCGGACATTGTTTCCGTGCAAACCCAAACTGGTATCGGGTGAAGGCAGAGTACGGAGGACCCGACCCGAATCATCTGGAGTTATTAAACATTGACTCGCATCCAGCCACCGACCGTGGAAATTGACATCGGGTGACTATGTTCTGCTAACGTCATCATGATGACGTCGCATACAACCTACGTGAAGACTACTTTTTTTTTTAGTAAAAAGAACAGAAAAGAAACGAGGACCACGAGAAGACAATGTAATGAGGGAAAAGGACACCCCTTGTTTTGTTTATTTTAGTTTGAAATTTGAAATCAATACAATATAGATATAGCATCAACGCGAGCACTTTTGTGTTACTACGACAAAAAGACAACTACCAGAGTAATCACTATTTAAAGTGCTCATTGTCTTCTCCTTAATTACTTTATTTGTAAGTTTCTAATGATCAGTCTAATAATCTTTTGTATCAGCTATCGAAAATAGCACTAAAAAAAATACAACATGAAAAGGTTTTTATTTACCTTTCACGATATTACATTATCAGCTTTAAAAATTCGGATAGGATGTAGTTATTTAATGGTCATTGATTTCTTAATTAGTAATAATATTGTTGGTATTGGTTAGTGTTTCATTTTAGAACCCATGATTATTTCCAACAAAAAACTCCCTATAAGTGCACGTGATGAGACTCACATTGCTTGTCACATCATAATGTGTGAACATCGCCACTCTATCTCTTGATAGCTCATTTAACAAAATAAGTCGTCGCCTCATACACATCATTTCTTTAACATAAATATGACGGTAAGAAGAGGCAATGCAAAAGTGTGTGAACTATAAAAACGGGCAAAATAGATTGGCCAGTTGCTAGTACATAATAATTTTATGTGTAATGACGGAGAAGGTGACATCACCCAATTATATTCGCTAACAGTAGTTGATTGGGCTCCGTGACCTACTAATTAAGTGGGCCGGCTCCGTGACCTACATTTGTAGTTTCAACACTCATTTGTGGTCCAACTAGATGCCCCCATTATTTTTACAAGACTAATCTGTATAGACAATGCCATACACAACCTTGAGTTAAGAATTTGAATTCGGCGCGGTTTGATTCGGGTATCGTATCTCCAAGGATTTTGAGGTAAGAAATTTGAATTCGGCGCGGTTGAAAACAATATCATTATATTAGTGTTTAATGCTTCATAATCTCCTACTTTGTTGATATCTTTTTTTAACACGGTTTGTTGTTTGATAAGAAGTTTGATGAAATTAGAACCGAACAAACCGAACCGAACCGCACCGAACCGACTTGCAACAGTTCAGTTCGGTTTTGAATTATAGACGGTTTGGTTTGGTTGTTCAAATTTTGATAAAAACCGAACCGAACCGACTGTTACACACCCCTATACACATGACTGCTTGTGAGTCCTAATGCAGGGTCACAAAAATCCTCACCAATTGCATCAAAACAGTTAGCCCATGGCTGATTGTGTCTAATAATGGTTAAGTTTTAATGCACTTTAACACGCTTCAAGCATTAAAGATAATTATGTTTTACAGTTGTATAACAGACTTTGCTATTTATTACTTATATTATGTTTTATGCACGTGCAATGCATGTGGTCAAATATCATGATTAAGTATATTTGGTTTATTTTCTCACTAAAACTTGTTCATCGGTTCCCCTTTGATGGTTTTTGCTTACTTTTATCTCTAAACTTTAGTATTGTAATTATTTATTTTCTTTAATATTCGTTTAAATGAACTACACCCAATTTAAATATTTATATTAATAATTGAATTGACAGGAAATAAATGTAATCCAAAATCAATTTGAATTATCATCTCATTGAGACCAACATGAAACCAAGCTTGACCTGAGAAAATATAGCATTGTAAAAGTAAAAAAACACTTCAAAAAAAACGTTCTAAAAGGAAAATAAATAATTAAATCTCATAAGACAAGATGATTGGTTAAAAGTGGGCTAAAATAACAAAAGATAATATGAAGTTTGTTCCTAATCCTTGATAGACTTTAAAAAATTATAAAATAAAGATTAATACTAAATCTAGTACACTTTTATATAATGAAAACATCCACATAAGCATATAAAAGTACTAAAAAAAGTTTATGAAAATCCCTTCCAAAAATTCCTAATTTACTCCAAAAAAATCTATTCTATAAAATATTCAGAAAATAGTGCTTTTCATTCCTTTTGTTTTATTTTTTATTGAGACATTATCTATCCTTCTCCACCTTTATATTTTTCGATAAAATTAGACTACTTTTAGATGCCAAAAAAGGATAGTAAAACCTTAAAATAAAAGTTAAATTTACATATCTTAATGAGAGAATATCAAACAGTTACTCTTTTTTTTTGCTATGTTTTGAAATTTTAGTCGCTTTTTCGTGAGTTTGAATTTTTAAGGGTGTGTTTTGAAAATTTTGATTGAGAGTATTTTTAAAAAAATTTAAATTTTAAGTTGGGTGCTTGTAATTTTTATGTTTCATGTACTGGTAGTAAGTTTTTGAATGTCAAAATATTTCTTGTAACTCTGAATTTTGAGGGTATTTTTTACAATTATTAAAACTTTAGATTGTTTGTTATAAAATTTAAATTTTTAGTGGTCTGCTGATAATTTTAAGATTTGATATGTATTGGTTATAAGTTATTCAATTTTAGGGTTTTTTGTGTTTTTTAATTTTCGAAGGAGTTTTTCAGAATTTTTATAACTTTGGGGTTATTTCTTATAAATTTTAGTTTTTTAGTGTCTAGTAGTAATTCCTTGAATTAGTCTTTGTTGTTTATAAGTTTTGAAATTTTAGAATTTCATAGTGTGTTTTTTATTATTTGAACTTTTAAGGGTGTTTTTATAGTTTTTAAAATATTGAGGGTTTTATGTTTGTTATTTCAAGTTTTGAAACATCTTAATGTTTTGTGTAATTTTATACTTTTAAGGGTGTTTTGTACAATTTTTGAAACTTTTTGAGTTTTTTTGCAATCTTCATATATTATAGCTTATTAATTTTTAAATTATTGACCTGTAAGTAGTTCACATAGGATTAAGATAGGATATAATTATGATTATAATAAATTAAATTTTAAATAAATTTTCAAATAGTCAAGGGTAATATTGACCTTAAAAAAAATTTGAACTCGTATTTTTAAAGGGAGTATGACTAGTTAAGATGCACGTGCAATACACGTGGTGGAATATCATGATTATTTAAATCGATAAAAATAGAGTAAAAATAAAAAAAGAAAACAAAGTTTTTTGTGATATTGATCATCAACTCAATAATCTCTCTCTCAAATAAAATATTGTCATTGTTTCATTTCAACCTAGACTGTGGCCACGTGATCTACTATTTATGAGTTATAAACACATTAATCTAGTACAACATCTCTATTTATTAGTATCTTGAAGTCTTCAAAAGATGGGTGATCATTCAATTCGTAAAGGAATTTTGCATATGAATTTACTTGCAATATGTCCATTAAACTTTTAGTAGTGGTTTGACTCATATTCACGTAAACTTTTAGTTGATGTTTCACTCATATTTATATTATCTAATATTCTTATTCAATTTTATAGCTCATTCTCTGTATCATAGAAATAAAACTAAAAGTGTGAAGAATTATTTTCTTACGAAATTAGAACAGAAAGATTATGATATATTTCGCTATATACTCTAAATATTAAAAAAAAATCTTTGATGCAAGGCCCTTATCAAATCTTATCCCAAACGATGTGAATAAAAAATGCTATTATTACTCACTTGCCTAGGATAATTATATTGTATATAGGATACATAACTCATATGGGATATCCATATCTCCTAAGTGGATTTTGTTGTTGCGAGATCAACATGTTAGAGGCTCGTATTCAAACTTTTTAGCTATATAAAAGACACAAGAATTTAGAGTGCATAGCTTATATATCGTAAAGACATATCGATTCATGAAGGATTTTCCTAATAATGATATTATTACAACGATATTACTATTCAATATTAAATTAATTTTATTATATAAGATTATATGACCATTTTTAATAAATTGTAAAATATATATATGGAAACATCAATGCTTATAGCCAATAGTTGGGCTCCACAAAATAGGTTAACTTTACATTATAGTTTGCTATTTGTAGTACCATTAGCAATTGTAGGCGTCAAAAAATACTGAAAGATATCCAAATACAGCTCAAAAGGAAATCATCCAAAAAGGCAGAAGAACACAAGTCTTGACTGTCTCGCCATGCGAGACAGACTTGACTGTCTCGCCGCGCGAGACAGTCTTTACTGTCTCGCTCAAGTCTCATTTGGGCATAATCTCTGGAACGAGGCCTTAATGATCCGCGGTCGTTCGTTGGCACCCTTCTGGGCCTGCCTTCGATTGGTACCGACGGCTCAGCCAGGGACGCATCAATTGCATGGGATGACATTGGAAAGAAAAATTTGTTCCTCAGCAACTTCTTCGCATGTATGACACCGACGTGTCAATCGGAACTCTTTTGCGATGAGATAGCAAAAAGGACGGAGGTCAGTCGATGATTTGTCAAACGCTTCCGTGGCCCAAAGCAATAAATTGCAGAGATCCTATTACAGAGGAGTTTCATCCTGCAAACATGTCACAATAACCTCTTCCATCGATGTCCTGGAAGCTCTGGGCGCGTTGTTGCCATCCACAACTTGGAAGGAGTTAAAATCTC